GTTCCTTGGGTGCAAATCAATAAAAGAGTGAACAGGAACCCAAAGATGAAGTGAAGGGACAGGAAAGGAAAGGAAAGATCCCAAGCGATGGTCGAAGGGGGGAGGAGAGAGAGAATAGTGTTTGAGTTGGACGATTAGTGGTGAAAAGGGAATCGATTGTCCACCCGAAACCCAGCAGGGAATAGAAAAAATACTGGTGAGTATGGGGCCCGGTGGTTATTTTGGGATCTGGATCTGCTCAATTTACTTCGCGACAGTACCTGCCTATCCGTACCTTACCTGTATCGGGGGAAAAGTACCCACAATATACCCTCCCGGGAGGCAACAGTTTCCTTCCCCCCCTCCCTCCGTGTCTGGTAAGGTGATACACAATTCTGTCCGCGGGATAGAGACTACACCCAATTGGATAAAATTTCGGTGGAAAAGTGTTTACACCACATTACTTGGTATTACTGCACCCGGCGCCTGGATACCGCTCTGGTATTAGGAGACATTAATCATCAAATCGTCCATGATCTGGACACATCACCAGCCTTCTCTGATTGGAAGCTTTCTCAAGATTGCCCTCCCGCCCCCTGTAATCATTGGCCCATATATGTTGGTGGCTAAGGTTCTATCAACTGAGAAGAATTACTCGACCTGAGCTATGGTTGAAGTTGCATAGACGCATATTCCATCGATTCCATCCGCTACGTCGAGTCTTAACCCATCCATCCACGTATGAACGTACGGTACCACGGTCGGTACCGGTTTGGTTACGTACCGTAGGTACGTAGAGGTAGTACTGTTTTCGGCCCACCTTCACCACCTCCACACTTCACTAGCCACAATCCATCCAGAGAGTTGTCCGTCCCTCTTCGAAAAGTCGATAAATGATACAGTACTGCAAAGTGTGTTCCAATTAGTAATCGTTAATTTTTTGCAAAACTACCCTCATACTGTTGAATGCAGCGCAGGAACCTGATTTTTTGGAGAGGCCAAAATTTAGTTGTTGAGTGATAAGTCATCATTGGTTGCGACTGTCCGGAATCCATGGAAGCTGGCGGCGGCCCCCCTGAAACCGGATCCACCACCAGCCTCAGCGAATAGGCCCCACGCGGATAACCTACCTACTACATTTACAACCTAATACCAGACGTACCGTATTTTTACTTTCCTTTTCTCTTTTTTTTATTCTATTTTTCTATTTTCCCACTGGAAAGTATGCAGGGATGGCTTTGGCTCATTCCACTTCTAACCTTGAATTGATTCTGCCACTACGAAAATGACTGTTAGTTGCAAGTGTCATGAACGCGTCGCTATGCAGTCGGCAACCACATTGTTTATTATGATTCAGCTCTTCCGATTGTCACCATCGCATACGTACGTCGGATGGAGGTTCTCCGGTACAAAGAACTTTTATCCACGGGTCCATTTCTGTTCCTGATCCAACTACCTACTAATAACCAAAGTAGGAAAGCTGGCTCCTCATTGCTCTCGATGACCCCAGCTGGGTGTATTGATTGGAGACTCGGAGGAGTAAATTAAATCAATTAACACAACATACTTGGGGGGGATGATGAACAAACCATCTACTTCGTACTCAAAATAGAAGTTCTTTTTATGGTATGAAAAAAAAATCATGCTATTAGCAACCATCTCATTTATCAATGCCTTCTCAAGGGTTCCTATTCTGTGTGTACTATTGAGACCACTTTACGAAAGTAGGTTCGCGGGTCCGTGAATTAGGTGCCTATCATCTGTAAAATTACCAAAAATCCATTCTTCCATTACTACTCCGTACTTAAAATTGCCACCTACAACCCACCATCAGATCCATGAGATACATACTAGGATATAGGACCCTTCGACTGTTTTACTGTTCCTTGCCACTAGAGTTGCACTGTGTAGCACATATTCAACCAATAATTGAAGTACAGAATCATACATTAAGACATCGACCACATACACAAGTAAGGCATGAGCGAGACAGGCTGGGCTGGTGTTATATTTAGCAGCACAGACTATATATATCGGCTTATAGAACAGTTCGCCAGTGGAACACAAGACAAAAGAACTATAGACCATACGTATTTCCTTCCAATTCAATCATTAGGTGACATGATAACTTAGAAGCTATATCCTATATCGGAAATGGAAGCTTCCTAGTGCCTATGTATAACTTTATAAAAATATGCTGCCTACCCTTGGGGACCTATAGTGGCAATAATTCTGCTAACAGGAATCATGGCTTCTACCTTGCTAGAACATATACCGAGTACAGCTCCCAAGATTTACTGAATAGATTAGCTTTCTGCTGTCTTCGGACAGCCTTGACTAACTCTAAAGGCAATCTACTGACCCGTAACGGGTTGTATAAGAACAGAATTTTTAAAGAAGGAATGAAAAAAGCGGGGGTGAGACCCATAGGTTCCTGAGTTACTGTCAAATATGTGAACACCTTAATTGAAAGTCGATTGTTTACCATTTGTCACCGGCATGTACAATGGAATTTGGACAGACCTTGGCTCAGGCTCTTTGTAAATCCTCCAGAGTGAATGTATTCATTGGGGCAAGACCCATTGGGCTCATAATGAAGATGCCTCGAAATATCTTCGGACAACGATGTCCTATCACCTTTGTGTCCAGCTGAGGCCTTATTCCCCGCCTAGGATATTTGATATACTTATACTCCGATGGGTTGATGTGAATGAAACAAGTAATATATATACTCTGTACTCCATACTTCAGATCTGTTCCTGTATGATTAATTCTTATGGCTGTTGCAATAAGATTGATTACCGAAGGGTTATTGGGCTTTACCTTAAACCTTACTAGCTCCTCCTGCAGCCAACAATCATCTAGGATATCGAACGCCAAGTGTACATACTATAGTAGTAGTCCAGACCATACCTTACCTACTGGCATATAGCAACATCAGAACCCGTGAGAATTCAATCATACCCCACTTTTGACTTGAGAAAGTAACCTTTCTCCTTTTTTTTTTTTTTTTTTTTTAGCTTTTTTCCTCCTCTTTTGTATTCCTCTACGGAGTAAATTAGGTATATTTGAATAAGATAAATATAATGCGCTTTGTCCCGTTCCATGGGAGTTGCACATGTGCCCGTTTCTTTGTAGCTCAGGCGATGAAATGATTGGCCTAAAAATACTCTGTAATCCATTTGGAACCCATTTCCACTTGCCCCACCTTATTGTACACTGTGCACAATAATACGGGTATAAAGTCCACGGTATTTATGATGAATCATCCAAGCTCAGGACACAGGAGAACTCTATATATGACAGGGACGGCTATCTCGGGAAGAGGCAGGGGGAAGGATATTGCTACTAGTAATAGTATTCAGATAGTATAGGTATATATTTAGGTAGGGGTTGACAGGAGCGTGTCAAGTGATGTTATCATCGGTAATGCGACTTCTGCCAAGTTCCAACCCATGCAGCTGAAAGTTTCCAAAAATATCGGAACGGCGATAATCGCTGCTGAGATCTCGCTCCGTTCTGAACCCATGGAACCAAATGCGGTTATAATGATAAACACTCCGGTTTCCTTTTCCAGTGTGTCTGCGATTAACCAGTGGCTAAGTTTTCTTTTACTTTCTCTTGTCCGAGCTTGTTCAAAACCCCCCAAAGTGGCAAAGGTAAAGAGCTTCGATCGGACTTGTGGTACGGGAACTCTTGTCAGAGGCGTCTCCCGTATATACGTGCAGAACAGACGGTACTTTCGTACATATGCGCCCGGAGACAAGCGATAAGTGGACCTTTCATAGCCCTGCCCTTGCAGAGTATGCCGACTATAGTCGCTTTTTTCAAGCCTTTCCATTTTCTTCTGCCTGGCAATTCTAGACTGTTTCGCTGCTCGAAGCTACTCCGACATAGGACTGGCTTGGAAAAAGTGGGTTGGTGTATGAATTGGACTACGTATATCACCCCCCCGCCGTAGGGTTCACTATTGTTTTCTAGAAATAATTCGGCGGGAAACAAGCAAATGAGAATGGGGGTCTTACCATTACTATTCATGAACGTTTCTCTAGATTATTTACAGTATTACCTAGAAAGTACAGCTGCACCCACACTGTTCATATTACTTAGTACTCCATACTACAGTAGGTATGGACTGATTCGCCAGTCTCACTAAGAGAACCATGATCTTGACCAATCCCTAAACAGGTGGCTGCGTTGGATTTGATTCTTTTTACTTGGTTTGAATCGTAGAGGGCGGACTGGCGTGACGGTTGGCCAATCGGGAGCCACAAGTCCGCGGGTGGCAAACCGGCAAGGCCCACAACGGCCTCTGCTTGATTGGCTTCCAATGGTCCAGCCCCCGGTCGAAGGTGTGGAATACCTGGAAAGGATAAAAAAGGGGGGCTTTCAAGTTTCAGCTTTGGGGATCATCATTAGTTGGTAATTTCTTAACATCCAATCGATAGAAAATAATTAATACCTAGAATCGTCGTCATTGTTATTTCTCGATGTAATGCGTTACACCCTATGCTAATTCCTGTTTTTTTTGTTACCTTCGCATGACGGCGATTACTAATATAATCTAGAGAACAACCTGAGCAAACATCGAGGCGTGATTTTCATATGACTTGGGCTCCGTTGGCCCGTGGTTACCATTCTTGCATTAGACCTCGGTGGATAAAGCTGGTATTCAGTGGAGAGTACCGAGTATACATGGGTGTGGGAGACGATTTCGACTTAGATAAGCTTGTTTCTCTAGCCGTAAGTGTCTATTCATCCAAAAGGTTTCATATTGGACCCTGATCCACTGACGGAGAAGGAAAGATCGTCATAGGGACGTTCAACCGTCCAAGGGATTATGGATCTACAATCGCTACCTGCCACTCACAATCACAGAGATGATGCTTCGCCACAATTGATGTACTGTGTACTGGGGCTCCTGACTATCAAGATTCTCTTAAGATCAACATTCTCTAGAGACCTGGACACCATGCATGCAGGCATATTCCGGATGCAGCGACTGGATTCATCATGCTCCAACTCATCATGTTGAGGCTTCGTAGGAGCTGATGTGTACTGACCCATGTGCTGCCTTCCTTAGAGGAGGTTAAGTGGGTGAGAAACAAAAAAAAGTGACAGATATTCTGCATTCAGCGATCAAACCCGTGTCCGCCACATGTGGTGGATACAAGATTACAGTCGCACGTCCATCGCCGTGGGAATTCTGAGCTTAATCAGACTACTAAGTCATAGTTTTCCAAAGCTTCAGCATGGGTCGGATACCCCAGATGGTCTCGGTGCGAATGATATTATGATAGTGATATGGCCAGGGTCACGACTGTGTGACAGACTCATCCAGGGTCGGTATGGTTTCCTAACCTTCTCTCTATATATATCATTTAGAGGCGGGTGAATGGTTAAGCTTTTCACTTAGACAGCGCCGACCCCTCTGATCTGTTTCCGTTGTGGACCAGGCTTGCGCGTTCCTGAGGCCTCTGATATCAACCCATCCCTGCACAATGCGCTTGGACAAATGACAGCCGGCAGACAGGAATATCACTGAATATCACCAGTGATCATCATATTATCATATCCTTAGAGGATGGTCATTGTGGGTGTTTGTCTATCCCGTCCCGCTCTATGCTTCTCGTGGCCCCAGAGAAGCGGGCGGTTGAGGCATTTGTCACTGAAGTCCCTTGACCCTGAGTGCCCACTAGTCATAACTATAGAAGAATATGCAGAGAACCCGGTCTCAGGGACGTCCTCGTGGTGACTATTTTTGTTGTTAGATGTGCAGGAGTCTCTCGCTGTTTAATTATAATCTTCCTTTCGTCTATAGATTACAGTCATTCCTTGTCCATGTGGTCTCTCGTTCGCAGTCTTCCTAAGCATTAATATCTTGGTTCCAACTATCTATTCCCGTCATTCATTTATCAAACCGTTCATCGTCGACCTCTGAAGCGCAAGTGGACTTCTCATTTCAATACTGGTTTAGTGCCTGGCAATCTTGCCAATTGTTTCTATAACGTCCTATTCACGCATTCAGCATGAAGTTGTCCAGCATTGTCGCGGGCGCGTCCCTCTTCATCAGCAGTGCCATTGCTGCTGACCTAGACCCCATCATCATCAAGGGCTCGAAATTCTTCTACAAGAGCAACGACACCCAATTGTGTGTAGACCCTCTATTGGCGGTCCCGTTGTTTCACCTAATGCTAACAAACCCCCCAGTTACATTCGTGGTGTTGCCTACCAGCGTGGGTTTTTTGTTGTCCTTAGTTTCGTTGGTGTGACATAAGCTAACATACTATGAAGAGGAGTACTCTGGTCCCGATTCTTCCGCCAACAGTTTCAAGGATCCTCTCGCCGACGCCGAGGCCTGTAAGCGCGATGTTCCGTACCTTGAAAAGCTGGGCACCAACACCATTCGCGTGTATGCTATCGATCCTAAGTCCGATCATAAAGAGTGTATGAGCCTTCTCAGTGACGCCGGTATCTATGTCATTGCGGATCTCTCGTCCCCGGGTGATTCTATCAATCGCAACGAACCCAAGTGGGATAACGACCTGTACAATAGATATGTGACTGTGGTTGATGAACTGTCGCAATACTCGAACGTCATTGGTTTCTTCGCTGGAAATGAGGTCTCCAACAGTGAGAATACCACGTCTGCCAGTGCCTTCGTCAAGGCTGCTGTCCGTGACACAAAGCAGTATATCAAGGCCAAGAACTATCGTCCTATGGGCGTTGGCTATGCTACTAGCGATGACTCAAGCATCCGTAAAAACATGGCCAACTACTTCAACTGTAACAGCGCGGACGACAGTATCGACTTCTGGGGCTACAACGTGTACTCGTGGTGTGGAGATTCCAACTATGAGAAGTCCGGGTACGCTTCTCGTACTGAGGAGTTCAAGGACTACACTGTCCCTGTCTTCTTCGCTGAGTACGGTTGCAATGCTGTCCAGCCTCGCAAGTTCACTGAAGTCCAGGCTCTCTATGGAGACAAGATGGCCGATGTCTGGTCGGGAGGTATTGTGTATATGTACTTCCAGGAAGAAAACAACTATGGTATGCTCAACATTGGCTAGCTTTGTAACTTACTGGCTGACTTTGGCAGGACTGGTGTCTGTTGATGGAAACAAGGTCAGCACTAAGGCGGATTTCAGCTACCTCTCGAAGGAGTTGGCTAGCGCTACCCCTTCCGGCACCAAGAAGGGCGATTATAACCCTACAAACACTGCTCTTCAGTCTTGCCCGACCGTTGATGGCAAGTGGCTCGCAACTTCTAGCCCGCTACCTCCCTCTCCAAACCAAGATCTTTGTTCCTGCATGGAGGAAAGCTTAAGCTGCGCTCTGAAGGACAAGGTCTCTGGCGAGCAGCTCGATAAGCTCTTCGGTACTGTTTGCGGCTACGACGTCTGCGATGGGATCACCACCAATGCCACTACTGGCAAATATGGTGCTTATAGTGTGTGCACTCCTCAGCAGCAACTGTCGTACGCCATCAACCTCTACTATCAGAACCAGAAAGCAAAGGGTAACGGTGACAAGGCTTGTGACTTCAACGGGGCTGCCACCACCCAGAGCTCGAAGAGCGGCGGCAGTGCTTGCTCTGCGCTCCTCAAGGAGGCCGGCACTTCTGGTACCGGCACCGTTACTTCTTCTCCCACCGGTACTGCTGGCTCTGGTGCTTCCGGTGGTGCTGCTGCATCTAGCTCTGGAGCTGCCGGTGGTATGATCGCTCCTTCTAACGTCAATGTCGGTATCTTCCAGCTCGGCGCCTATGTGGTGACAGCTATGGTTGCTGGCGCGGGCATGATCGTTCTGTAAGGACCGTTCGCCCCGTCTTCTCGTCTCGCTGTGGGACAGTAGCCCCATTTTCCTACCGATCACTGTATAAGCTGAATTAGCTCTGCTATGTGTCTGTGTGATTGTGTGACACTCTTCTTGTACATCCCTAGCGGTGGATCTGCCTTTTTCAATACGAACTTCTTTGCTGTACAAGTATTACCCATGCAGGTATACGGTATTTGGCATTGTCTTTTATATACTCATTTAATAGGTCAATTGGTTTCAAAGGTGATTTCACGTAGGAATGACCAGTCTTATGGTCAGATAACACTGTTACGGGACTGTCTATGATTGACTTTCCTGTCTAGTCTGCTTAGATCTATGGTTTTAATGTCTTCATCTATATGCTATTCGGTGCATTCTAAATAAACAAGCACGGAGTTCTCTTCCCGGCGAGGTATGTTCTATACTCGGCCCTGCTCCATTGTGCAGCATTGTAGTTCTCCACACTCCCATTCCCAAGCTCAAAGTTTGAATCAACCTTGTGCTGGATAGAGGAGAGTGGCACACGAGTAACACGGTACAGAATTCATATTGTGATGGGTGGCAGTGGTCGCTTCGCCGTTTAGGCTTGACCCTGCACCATAGACGGGAGGAACGATTCGTTGATCATACGGCTAGCTTTTTGTGGTCTCAAGTTCAGTAGCCTTGTTTCGTAGTAGAGTGTCCATGAAGCGGGGTATATCAGACTAGGAGTATGAATAGCTGGTGGTATTTACTACCGTAGATGAAGTCTTTGGTGGATATATATTTTGGGCAGACATATACATCCACAAGGAATATTCACTGTGCCCTAATACACACCTAGAGAGTAATGTGAATCTATAGAATAGCTAGTCAATAATAGACTTATGAGACGGCAACTAGACACGCCACTGATATAGGCCTAAAGTAGGCAATATATGCCTCTCTAGTGGATGTATATTGGTCTTCAGGGTTTGTAATGGTGGTATGATTGTCGAGTTCCTGCGTACAAACCTCGGACCTTTTCTCTTTCCTTTTCCTTTTCCTTTTGTCTTTTACCTTTGTGCTCCTACTATTTATTAATACACAGAATTGTCGAGGAAACCTGAAGTATTCATTTTCTAACGATAGCCTGTTTCTAAGACAAGCAACCCGTGACCGACAACAATCATCGATTGGTCATCGGTTGTCCGTTTCCAAACCACGGATCGGCAGGAAGCGTTGCCATGCCAACGACCCTCCCCCAGCTGCAACTCAATCAATATCGTCAACACTTCCACTCGAAAGGCAGCTCAAGCTCATGCAATATCTCCATCCAGCTTTACTTATATTTCCGGTATTGTCTATGATTTAACAGACCGGGATTTTGACATGTCATATTAATAAAAACCGACCTTCAAAGCAAACCAGCAGAATTATACATCACCAAAACTCATTATCTTTATACCAACAAAACGACAATGGCTCGACTCAACCCAGCGAGCCCCGTCAAACAAGGCGGCACGCGCGAGAATGCGACAAAATCAGTCCGAAAGCTCAAGTCCAACACCAACTCGGTCTTCTCAAGCAAGTTCAGAGACACGTCGCCCACACCCAAGGTGGGAGATCACTCGGGGACGTTATTCGACGAACCGGAGTTTAAACGGCCGACTGCGAGAGCGACGACGACAAACGATAAGCCTGTTCAGCGACAGAGGAAGTTGCAACGGAGCGGAACTGTATCCAGCGGGACGTTTAATATCTTTTCTGATAGTGATGGACTGAGTGACCGCGACGATGTCTCCTTTGCATCGACTATGCGCTCCTCGACTACCCGCTCCTCGACTGAAGGACGTCCCAGCGATCCGTTGCAGTTGGCACGTGCTAACTCGCTGCTGATGCCGCAGTCGAGGCACTCTAGGAGCCGGTCGACGAGGAAGTCCGAGCTCTATGATTACACTAAGGAGAACTACCCCGTGGAGGAGGTTGTGGAGGATTACTCCACCACATCTTCTATCAGTCGGAATCCCTCTGATGCGTCCTCGACGCGACGGTCTCCTACCAGGAGGGAGCCGCGGCAGACGAATAGTAGAAGACAAAATGACCGCCAGTTTCGGGATTATCGCCAGCCGGCAAATCGGTCCGAGGACGAGGAGAGCGATGATGGATTCAACTCTCTGGATGACTTCATTGTCAGTGATAGCGAAGAGCCTAGCCACCACGACGCATCTGTCGGCGAGTCGGAACCAGAAGAGTCTAAGAGGGCACCGTCGCCGCCTAGAGTCAAAAGGAGACTGGTTCGAGGCAGAAGGCCGAACCCTGAGGAACAGATTAAGAGAGCCTTGGAGAGCTCCGCACATACAAACCTTCGTCTAGAGCCCTCTTTACCAGCTGCTGTTTCGATGTCCTCCTCTGACCCCCAGGCCAGCCCCAGAAAGCTATTCCGTAATACCTCTAACATCGATGAGAAGATGAACCGTCTGGACCTAGAAGACGATGATGCTGGTGTTGACGATGATGAGGTCGACCACGACGCTGCTGATGAAGGTGCTGCTGATGAGGTGGACGCTGATGAATATGACCCGTCCGCTCAACTCCACCAAGATTTGGATAAGTAGGTCTCAACACTGCTGAATATGCGAAAGCCTAAAATATTAACAGTCAAATAGTTTTCTGGGAGGATTCGAGCTCCGCTCCAAAAGCTCAGAGATCGAAACAGTGAATATGGAAACACCGCCTGCCAGCCCCTCTAAAAGCACTCTCAAGTCACCTTCCAAAGGCAAAGCCCATATTCCACCCACACCTTATCGTGAGAGCGTAGACGCCTTCTGGTCCCAGGAAGCTACAAACAATTGGATCGATCAACATTCACCGCGCAAATTACAGAACTTGCTGCAGGAACTCGAGGAGTCCGACAATGACGTTGACCCCGAGATCATGCCTAGAACCAAAGCAACAAAGAAGACGGCCAAGCCTCCTAGCAAGACGGCCCTGAAGAAAGCCGAGACAGAAAAGAAGAGAGCCGCCCTTGAGCGCAAGAAGTCGTTTGATAACAAGAAGGCCGCTGTCGCAGAAGACTTCTTCAAGGTTTTAGATGACCACGTTACTGGTGGCCGTATCCAAGAGATAGCCGAGGAAACGGGTGGTGTTCAGATCATCTGGAGCAAGACCCTCCAGACAACCGCTGGACGGGCGAACTGGAAGCGAGAGAAGCTGCAAACGGAGGGTACACTTGAGACGGAGCCCCAGACACCTGGAGGATCTCTATCCAAGCACCATGCTAGCATCGAACTGGCTGAGCGGATTATAGATGACGAGGATCGCTTGCTGAACACGCTAGCTCACGAGTACTGCCACCTGGCCAACTTTATCATCTCCAACGTCCACAACAACCCCCATGGAGCAAGTTTTAAGCAATGGGGGCTGAAGTGCAAAGAAGTCCTGAAGGACCACCCTGTCTATGGCGGACGCTTCGAAGTAACGACCAAGCACAGCTACAAGATCGACTACAAGTATGTATGGAGCTGTGTGGACTGCGGCCAGACATACGGACGTCATTCAAAGAGCATCGACACTACGAAGTCTCGATGTGGAAAATGCAAAGGTCTGCTCCAGCAGATCAAGCCAAAGCCACGGAACGTGTCACCCCGAAAGAAGCAGCACCTTGGGGATGCCGAGAAAGTGGCCGTCGACGAGGTTGCAAACGTACTAGGGGAGATCAACTTGGGTAACTAAAATACTCGCGGCTCTTCGGATCCAGTCATTGAAGGTGTTCACGGATTTGTCTCTCATTCTACATACATTTCGGGAAGATTCATTTGCCTATCATTTACAGCGTTCATTTGATGACGATATATCTATGGTGTTCTCTCTTTAGCGATGATATGCCTGTCCGCCTCTCATTTGGGATATTTTGGTTTTCGTGTTTGATGTACACAACGATCCTTAAGCAATGAGCACATATGAAATTTGTACATACACAGCTATACTCTGGAGCTCATCACAATCGATTGATTTCGGATTTGACTATCACTAATCTATCTAATTAGTTCTATCTATATACATGCCAGTGTCTTAGTCTCAATCCCTCTCATCCATGGAAACCGTATGCAGTTCCCTAACCCATTTATCCCTACCAAATCTGCCATGCAAAGATGCAAATCCTATAAAATCCTCCCAAGTACAGTCAATCCCAACCATCATTCCCAAGCCCATGACTCAATCGTACACTCCCCAAAGAGAAAGAAAGAAAGAAAGAAAGAAAGAAAAGAACCTAACAAAACAAATCCCAATCAACAACCTCCAACCCATCCACCAACCCCGAAATCAACCCTTCAGCCAACTTTTCCTCCGCCTCCAACCCCCTCAAATCCCCAGCCTTCTCAAACTCCTCCCTGGGCACATTAACAAAAACCACCAGATCCGTCTCCTGCTCCACCAACCTCACCACCAAATACCACAACGTCACAGTACTAGTCAGTCCCCCTTCAGAACTAGACCCTGCAACCGCACCCCCAATCCCAATCCCAGACACAGACCCAGAACCAGAACCAGAACCAGCTCTAGCCGCAGATCTCCCCTTAGGAGAAGTAACCCTCACAACACCCCGATACCCCACAATCCCAGCCGAGAATTTCCCCAAAGAAACCCGTGTCGGCGGCGTCACAATCTCCAGCTTATCGTCCTCATCACAGATATCGTGGACGTGGTACAGCGCTGCTTTTGCGTCGGCGTCAAGCTGGTGAGCTTGTAGGTATGATGAGCCTATAAGGGTATCGAGAGAGGCTGTGTCGGAGTCGGTGACGCGTTGGTTTATTTCGGTGATTTGGGAACTTAGGGTTGTTCGGGAGAGGAAGACTTCTTGATGGGAGGGGATTTCACGGACGTCACTGTTTTTTTTTTTTTTTTT